AGTGCGATATTGTCGCATCAGATCCGGGGAATCTGAGTAGATTTTCATCTTTATCGCACGCGATTTCATATGATGGAGCACCATGATTCGTTGAGCTGACTGCGCATAGCAACCAATGTTCACCTGCTTCTTGTTTAAATTGCCATCATTTAAGAATATGAAAAGACGTCTATAACAGACTGGATATATATGCGGGTCCATAAAAATCTGAATAAATCAACCATGCACATGGAATGCCGTATCCCAACATCCCCAAGCTAGGCGCTCGTGCTGTTTGAAACATATCGGAATAACTATCCAACCTTGAGTTACTTGGCTACCTAGGAAATGAAATTGTACTCACCTTATCAATGCCGCCCTCGCTCGTCATCATTCCCTCGTTAGAATGACCAATGTTCGGGGCCCAATCGATGGTGGTAAGATTAGGGATGCCACCCATATCTTCTAACATCTGGACAAAGTTCTTTCCTCTGGTGATATGATCCTCCCCTTGAGCCTGAGAGAGACCGAATAGTCGGTCAAATACTTTGGGATGTGAAACGGGGAACACTCACGGCTGCCTGACATCTGTGGTCTCCGTTGGCGTAATCGGTCTGCGACGAGAGGTGGGTAACCAGGCGGAGAAAAAGATCTTTGTCACTTACCAGTCCCCAATCGTAATTCATATTGCGCCCGTTGTATTTCTCAACAATTCCAGACCTTCCCAGTGTACGTGCACTCGCAGTCGCGTACGCGGGGAAACCGGACGCCAGCCCGTACTTGTAGTCGTCTATACCGTCGCAGTCGTCGACCGAGACCGGACGGTCTGACGTTAGCCATAATAGAGATCCGGGATTCGCTAGACGTATTGAAAAGTGATGTACTATCACCGCACATGATATCAAGAGAACTTACCGATCCAGAAATGCAACCGATCATCGTTTTCAGTGGAGAGTCTCAGGGCTGCATAACGCTGGGCCATCTGGGCACCAGCGGAATGCCCTCCAACGACGACGACCTATATCAATGAGTAAGAAAGTGGCGCTGAAACGGGGAGAAATCGTTACCTGTAGATTTGGATAGACAGTCTTGTCCATGTAATAGGCAACGAGCGAGTCGAGTACATCGAAGCTGCTATAGTCGGATATAGAGTCGGGGGCGACATTCGTATGCCCACTCATCCACGTCGTTTGTCCCCAAAGGAGCTGGCCGTCTCTGGCCGCGCCCGCCGTTAGGTCATCCTCGTCGAAGAAGCACGGTCCCATGATGGATATATGTTCGCGCACGATACTAGGGTCATCATAGGTGGCATTGTAAAGTGCGTTATTCATCGCATTCCAATCTAGGGGTCATCATCAGCGCCACATGCGAATGTAGCTGTGAATGGTGCGCACAATACCAGCAGTCGCGGGGCTTTTGACAGCGTTAATGGTTGAGTAAATACGGAGACCGAATTAGAGTCTGGCCCACCTTTCCATGAAGAACAATAACTGCTCTTGTGACTTCTGACGCATTCAGACCCAAAGATTGGTAGACGGGCTACTCAGAGAATGAGCCGCTCGTCGATTGAAAGAGAAAACATGCGCACCATGTAGGCACCGAGGTCTGCATCAACGACCCATTTGGTATGCCTGTCAGCATCGACGACTTTCGGGAAGCTCTGCCAGCCGTCATCTTGGTTACCACCAACGGTAGGATTTGTATTGCTCTGCTGAGCAAGCGTAGTATAAACGAGTGAAGGGAGTATAAGGAGGGACGAGAGTAACATGGGTGTACTGGAATGAGCTCTTTCGTCAGTCGTCAGCGAATGCTCGAATTTAAAGCATTCTCACCCGAGCCGCGCAGTGGCCCACAAGTAAAAATAACAACTCGGTTCGTGCATTTCACTGTCCAGGGCGCGAAATTTTTGACCGAAGGAGAAACCCTCGTGTTTCGAGACGAACCCTGAGCTGGATACCGGGTGAGGTCATCGAAATGTGAAAATGTGACCATCAGAGGACTGGAGCGCCCACACTGCATGATCTGTAGAAGGCATGATAAACTATAAAAATAAACACCCTCCGTAATAAAACCGTTCTTCCTGTTCCCACACGTTCGCGTTATGTGCCGCTTACGCGCTCTTGAACTGTGATGGGAGGATTTTCTCGTATAGGGGAGCGAGCATCGTGTCACTGTTTTCAATTATCAGAAATTGACTTCCTGTGACGGTTTGACACCAGCCGAGAGGAAACCCGTTTCTAGGAAGAGCCCGTAAACGGAGGGAGCGGAAATGGGGTTAAGAAGAATCGAGGATTACGCTTGGACGACAGGCACCCGATCCGCCACCCCCTCATTCGAAGTCTTCGACTTCCAATTTTGAATCGCTAAGACGACCCGGTACCGCAGCCCCAAGCTACTTCATCCTCTCATTCAGTCGAGCCATATGAATACACATGTGCTCAACGCAAAAAATCGGAAATTCGGTGAATTAACGGATGCTCGGTAAGAGACTGCAAAGGTCACCGTTCATTTTGATAACCAGCAGAGCATTATAAGCATGGCTCGCGTTCACTGTGCAAACCAGTATGGACGGCCGTAAGGCGGTGATGAGCGAGTAGGCTGAAGAGGGCATGTGTTGATATGACTGTGAGCGCGTCGGTCGCCTTCGGAGTCTCAATTTCAAACAGCGACGAGGCCTGGCCTTGGCACGGCGAGCGAATACCCTTGTGGAGTTGGAATGATTCCCGATGATAAGGCAGCTGTTGCGCTTGCTTTTCGGCGGGACCAAGGGGTACTGTGCCGTCTAACGATGACGGAGCTGCTTCGCCGAGACCTGAGAAGCAGGAGGGCCTGAGCTCAACAAAGTTGGAATTTGGAATACTGGTGTCGTCACAGGAAAATGAAATTTTAAGCGACGGTTGCGGTTACGGAACATAATGAAAGTGTTATGAAGGAGTGGGAATATCCGTGGAGGCACATGACGAGGGAGAAGCCAGTGCATAGCGGATACCCCTCTGGCCCATGAATCGCTTTCGTTAACCCAATGAGCGCATCGACATGGCAGCTTCGCACACTCTTAATTTCGGGGTAAAGATTGCACCTCGCGGCGCGGCTCGAGGTCTTTACCGCCACCCCCCTGGACGCGGTGTCGTCCTATGGGTAAGATAACGCCTTCGTAATGATGATCAAGAATCATTGGTGAGGGCTCCAATAAAGGCATCAAGGTTACCTCCCAGAGGTACTGGAAGTAGCCACATAAGGCTCTGCAAATCCGTCACCGAAGGCAAGGCTGGGAAAGACTGAGATTACCTTTGCTTCCTCCAGCTGATCAAATCGTGGAGCGAAATTCGTGCCGTCGCCGCATCCATCAATCTGATGCTATCATCGCCTGTTAGCAAGTGCAGAACAGATCGGCTGGTCTCTGATATGCGACCCATGGCAGAAGCTTGTACTTTTTAAGACGATGTCATGAAAAAAAACGAGGGGAAGTTGATCTTTTTAAAACGTCGTGCAAAGTGCGGCTGCGCTCGAGGCCAGGAACCGCCGGGCAACGTTCGCCACGAGAGAAAGCGAATTGCTTTGCGTAGCTTCACCAGCGGAAAACACGACATCTGGGGATCAATGAGTTCGCGTACGATGTTGAAATGTGGCTGGTCGTCCAAGAACTGGTGCAGCGGCCAGACGGCTTGAGATGTGGGAGGGCGAATGAGACGGGGTGGCAGTGAATTAGTGATCAAAGGGACGACACTCGCGATCGTGCGGCAGCGAACCTGGCCGAGCAGAACACATGCCCGCCATCCTCGCCAACGTTTCTTTTTTCAGGTCCTGGATCATGAATCCTCGTTCGATCCGTCAGGGTGGAGACTGTTGGGGTCCACAGAGGAGACTGTGCCTGATTCATTGGGGAAGCACGGTAGGTATTCCACAGACGACGCTCAAGCCTCAATGAAAGACGGTGTCATTATCTACTATCTGGTGAGGAGAGATCGCAAAGGGATCAATTGAGGTCCTTACCTGGCACATGTCCATAAATCACAGAAAGGAAGTTCTCTGGAAATGGAAACAGCTAGACAGCCAGCAGCACAGGTCGATCCCCGGGAGCCAGCTCTTTTAGAACCAGCGTGACAAGGCTCAATTTAGACGGAAATATGGTTTCTGCGATGGGGAAATACACTCAATAAATAGTGCAAGTGGCGAAAATGGGGAACCTATACAGAAATATTCTGGTTGATTCATATTCGCATTCTACTGGAAAGACGAGACTAGGCCAGACTTTCCGACAGAGGGATAGTAGCACTTTCCGGCGCCATTTTTCGCCTAATTAGTCTTGGATTGTGAATGGATACGAACCAGAAATTCAATATGAAAGAAAGAAGAAAGAAAAACATAAACGGCCTGAGAGGTTGGAAATGTGTTCAGTATCATCGAGATATGAACCATTATGGTAGTGGTCAAAAACAGCAGGTGCTTACATACGTCGACTAAAATGGAAAGGGCGTAATATGTTCCCACGCCACAGACGCGTCTTCAGGACTCTTCACCTTCGCATATACTAGGCTTTGTTTTCTGCAATAGGTAAGGACACACAGCATCGGACACGACATCAAATTTTCTGGACGTTAGGAGCTGTGGGTTCCTTCCTGACCTCTACTGTCTCCGTCTGGGGACAGATTTCCCGGGTAGTAGACACAAATTCGTTAGAAGGATTGGGTAGGAAACCATAGGTATCCCTCGCTGGAGGGGCTTTCGTTGAGTCTCGTGACAGCTTAACTCTCGTGTAACTACTTGCAGTGTACTACGCATTGTCAATGTCACGAATATTGAGCGCGGCGCGCCAGTCATATGAATGTATACGCAATATAGGATATCAAAACAGAACGTTCAGGGAGCATCAGTACAGAGCCATAACTAAACGCTTTGTGTGCACTGCGCAACCATACTGAAGCCTGGACTCTGGAGCCCGGAGCCGTAAGCTGATCATTTAACATTGATGTTTCTTGAACCAGACTGAATCAAAAGACTTGTATACAAACAGTCCATTACTGCCCCAGAGAGGCTCGAACTCTCGACCTTCCGATGTTATACAAACCCGAGGTAACAGTCGGACGCTGTAACCAACTCAGCCATAGAGCATTCAACAGTATGTTGCTTATGCCCTTCTCGATGTTGTTCCATCTCGAGTTCGTGATATTCTTCAACTAAATAAGTAGCGTACACTCCTGTCTAATTGAAAACCTAACGACTATAATTTGAGATCGTCTTTCATTTGTGTTCGGGGGTACTGAAAAAAAGACAATACGAAAGTTACCACAATAATACTTCACAGTAAGTACTTGCTCCTTAACGCGGACCCTAAGACCTCGACTCAATGATTGCTCATTTAATCGAAGGTCGGCAGTTCAGGTCTAAGACGCATTCGAGAGGTAAAGAAAAGAGATAGGGTATATATCTTTCGCTTGACTTAGTATTTCGAGAACAGTAATTGAATTTGGTTGAACAATGCGAGACAAAATTAACAAAAAAGAGCAACGTACGAAATGAGTACAAAGCACAAACGCTCAACAAGGACTTATAAAGTCTGCATGAACACGATAATCCGTCAAGAGGAGATACTTGCTAGCAGTGGAATGGCGAAAGCCTTAGGGATTAACCAACTCACCGTTGCGGAGTCTGCATGGATTTTCCCGCTGTATCTGTCAATAAGGCCCCCGTTCTAAAACTGACAGCTGCTATGAGGTAGAAAGGACGGACGTGTTGACACACCGGACGCAAGCACTAGCAGAATGGGTATGGGCCTCGGGTTTATACCTGCTGAGATCGCTATGCGACGGCAAGGATGTGGACTGGATCAATGGCGCGCGTTCACCTACGTTCGCCCCAGGCTAGACACTTCTAGAATCTGTGACATGGCTATATCAACGGCGCATATGTGTGCGACAGACGCATTCGGAGAGAAGGACGTACGGATTCGCGGCTCGTTTTGTTATTTGATTTTGTGGATGACTTATATCGATAGTGGCCAATATTGGCCGGGGAATGAATTACGCGTTGCTAACACAGACAGCATGGGGGCTCTGCGGGAAGTAATCCAAGACTGGCTTTGAAAAAGACGAGGGAAAACATACGATTAAAACTATGAAGTTAAAATATGAAGTGAGCACTATGCTCACCGGTTTCAAAAGTCACGTAGAACGAATGAAAAGGTGTGCAGACGTCCGCGGTCTGCTTGCTAGGCTCCGTGTTATAGTGAAGCGAACCTAACCTGTGTATATCCATTTTTAGCTTAGTATAGAACTCGAACGTACGAAGACCGCACGCAGATGGCCGATATGTATCAAATCTAATACCCCGGACCTGGACAAAGAAGATGAGTATCATAACGTATCTCGTCGACTCCGACCTAGTTCATACGCGTCTGGCAATCCACAGCAAATAGATTCTTTCTGAGGGGGACGAATGCGAGTTTACGCTTCGCGGTCCTCACTAGACAGGGCAATTATAATTCTGTGATGACTTTGGTATGATCAAAATTTTGTTTGAGAAGGGAAAACACGTACTGGTTCGAGGTGATTGAACTAACCGGTTCCTTATCCGTAGGAGTTTCATAAATTCTCCCATAGTCGTTCGTGCATAAATACTGCATTGATCTGCACCTGTAGCCCGAAAAACTCCAGGATCATTCAGGTCTTGATTGCGAATCCGGTGGGGATTTAGGAGCGGAGCAAGGGTCATACATTGTCATGACTTGCCGTAGATCCAGGGAGAATGAAAACGCGTGTGGAACTCGTGAACGGGCGCGATAGAGAAGAGAGTCGCGAAATTATGGCGTGGTGGTGTTGAAGGAAGGAGTTCGGGCCGAAGAGCGAATGGGTGTGTCTTACGTCATCCTCGCTCTTCGTCTTCGTCTTCGTCCTCGTCCTTGTGCCATTCACATTATTTGTACCTTCAGCTGGCCTCACACTTCCTAAATCCAAAGCTTTGTGAAGTGGCGTCCATTTCTGTGACTGTTCCCACGACGGCTAGCCTGTCCTCAGCGATGGCTCTCGCCAATTCGGCCGTTATTCGAGTCACTGAGCTGCTAATGAAGGACGGGCGAGTTTGAAGGTTCCTTTCTACAAAAAGTGTCTTTCTGAGTCTAATTCCTATGGTATATGTGCTCACATACTGCTAGCAGTGCCGTTCTGATTAGTTTCCAGAGAAACTTTGCGTAGAGCCGTTTATCTGTCCGCCATCTTCTGTGCATCGTTCTCTTTCACAACAGCTGATTGATCCATAGGAATGGGTACTGCTCATCCGATATAGTACCCTCGGTTGAGTGCGTATGTCGCTTATGATAAGTCTCGGCCCTGCGAGACTGACTGCTCTTCAATACACGGATCTCCACCCATATACGATGCACGCACGGGAGGTCTTCATTATCGGCTGATACCTCAATAGTCATCTTATCTTATCACCATGGAACGTGCTCGAGAGGCTTCTGAGAGACGGAAGGTGTTCGGAATCGGGTTTGGCAGGTACAACGGAGGCGTTCTCCCTAGGTTAATGATGGTTCGTACCTAATATTCATGTTCAACGAAGGGAAAGCCATGTATTTACAAGGAGATCGCTAGATATGTTTTACTTTACGATAATTCGAAGACCACCATGGCGATTTTCCCGTGGTATTTCACTACAATCTTTAGGCGTAAAAGTCTGATAACGCTGTCAGTCCCCGAGTAATGGATGCAATGAATGTGTATTGCTTTGCTTGCAATTCGACGGATTCACAGAAAAGCGACCCATCGCCGAATTAATCATAATGCGCAGTCTGCCTTGGTCATCACATATCGTCGTGGTTGAGCGACAAGATGGAGTCAATGCGGTCTCTGCGTGTGTACCATGTTTCTCCAGCATGGACCAGTATGGCTTCCGCCGCGTTGTTTACACGCCTCGCAGCAGCCTTGGGCATTCGTACTTTGCATCTTCCTGCCAAGAGACAAGCACCTCTTCCCTCTGCACTCCCTTGAACGTGTGCCTGGTCAGACCTGGAAATGCGAAATCGTGCGTAAAATTATTTACTGTCTTTTCGAGGACTCAGGAGAGCGATGTTAGCCCCATTGGAAGTCGTAGGCGGAATTTTTTTCTGCTACATCCGGTTGATATGGGAACTTCTACGTGTTGAAATAATCTTGCAGGTATGGAAGCATACAAGGGATCAGAGCACGAATACGGGATTGACGGAGTACATGAGCGACGGAGTACGTAGTCAATCGAGTAAAGAAGAGAAAAGCGTGGCTACGAAAATTGACTGATACGTACACGTGACTGATTACCAATAAACATGCGAGCCACGAGCTCGATATCCAACACTACGCTCCATATTTTTGAGCTCACCGACAATGAAGGATTCATACCCTGACATGATATCCAAGTCGGAGCAGAATATGAACGCACTTGTGCCTTCAGAGTCTCAAAAGGAGCTCCTTCACACCAACGGTAACTCTACTGCGATGAATGGGGGTACTATCTCGGAAACGATATCTGCCTCCCCATCTGACTTGCGACCGGAACCACCTTTGAAATTGTTGGTTGCGGGTTCTGAGGGTGGTTCGGTGGACGAGCAATCATCTAATGATCTTGACGATACTGCGAGTATTTCTGATCGCATGTCGCGGTATGTGCGTTCTCTCATTCGCTATTCCAGCAGGCCAAAGGTCAGTCAGTCTGCAAGTACACAATGGCAACTTCGATAACATGTTTCCAGGACATCGCCTTTCCTGAAGTCAAAATCTCGGCCTTGACTGAGTTGGCCAAGCGGAATCGTCCATAGAGGTTCCATTGCAACGGTCCTACACCGGTCGACGTCCCATTATACCATCCTCCCTCGCCGACACTCCCTGCGCTACCCTCGGCATTCAGGGGGTCTTAGATGCACTGAACGCGACCCTTGGAACGTCATACACCCTCGACACACCATCTCTCCCCTCCATTCTCGAAGAGTGCATCAAGAAGAACTATGACTTTGGGACTGCATATGGTCGTCTTCGCGGGATATGGTACACTGACGACTGGAGCAACGTCCGAGATAAACTCCGCAGACGTGAAGAGGCGGACAGGGAGATGCGACGAAGAGCACTGGTAGGCAACCGGATTGTCAAACCCCAGTTGCCACCTCGACGTGTATGGGACCTGTACAGCAATCGGGTGGTGCCATTGTGGATCATCCAAGAGGATGCTATACCTTTATGGCCCCGGCCTATATCGCATGCGTGGGTGGATGAGAAAGATCGCATAGATGTGTGGACACCTATCAATGAGAAGGAGTGGCCCGTGCCCATCCCGAAGGATGCCAGTCTCGATCTCATGCGAATCGAGATGCTGAATTTGGAACTGGAGTATGTGTGGCTGGATGTCATCTGTTTGAGACAGAAAGGAGGGCTGAATGAGGATCTGCGTGTGGAGGAGTGGAAGCTGGACGTGCCCACAATCGGACAAGTGTATGCCAGCAGTGTGTTGGTGGTGATCTACCTCAGTGGGCTAGGACGGCCTTTGCATGTGAAGGAGGGTGACTTGGACAGTGATCGGTGTTGGTTTAGACGTGCATGGACACTCCAGGAGGCCAGCAGGCTCAGGATCATTGCCGGGATAACATCTAAAGGACCAATGCATGCAAATCCAATAGATGAGGATGAAAACTATGAGACTGAGCTGCTGACAAGGTTTCATAAGCAGCTAGAGTCGGAGCAGGATATCTGGGATATATTTGGTCGACTGTCAGATATGCGGAAGCGAGTGTCAACCAACGCCATGGACAAAGTAGCAGGACTCGCATTCCCTCTGATGCCAAAGACGATACCAGCATACCATGAGAGCGAGTCTCTTGAGGATGCATGGACAGCACTAGTGAATGCAATGCATGCCCGGATGCGGGCGTCCTTCCTATTGTTCTATCCTGGAGTAGGACTCGGATGCAAGAAATGGAGACCGACATGGGAGCAGGTCATGACAGAGCCTCTCCCAGAGGGCTGCACCCCCCAAGCTCCCGCAATCCCAGGGTATGTGCAGCATGATGACGAGACAGATGAGGACTGGTTTCAAGGGCCTTGCATTGAAAATGGGTGTGTGTGTGGATTGGCCAACTTGGATGTCAAATT